TTTGAGTTGGAGAAGGATCCTTCTTGCGCCAAGCACGAATTGGTTCCCTTTTTATTTTACTTTCTTCATTATCTTTTTGTTGTTTCTCTTTGTTTACGTGAGTAACAAAAGCAACTAAAAGGGTCAACTATTTGATTTGGCCCAATTAGTATTCTTTTTTCCATTTTGAACTCTATCATTTCACTGCTGTCTTCCTCAACTTTTTAGCCACCAAATTATATCTAAAAATATTCATGTAAAAGAAAATCATACCATGAGATATTTGTAGAATATAAAATGCTCAAAATCATGCATTTTATGTATAAAATGTAAACAATAGCCTAAAATGCTAAATAGAACAAAACAAGCTTATTTAAGTATAAAATGCATATTAATTGTCTTAAAAGTACTAAGAAATGAGAGAATAAAATATGACATTTTGTGACTTAACAAAAAGTATAGTGAAATATATGTGTACTGTGGCCTTACCACAGTGCGAATTTCTATTTAATGAATAAAAACATAGAACTTTTATTTTGATATTTTCTCTATAATTTACTTCTATTTTGATGTCAGCAGAAGACTATCTGAAGGTATGAATAATAATGAATATGATGTTCATAACATGTATGAGTGGCTAATGGGAGATTGCAGAGCATTTCAGGGTTATCAGATAGTATGGAATAAGATAACTACTCCTAAGTATCAATACCTACTGTTGAATATAATAAGAGTATTGTATTTTCTTGATAAATTAGGAGGATACAAGGCAATATATAAAGATGGAGATCCTGGTATAATTAGAATTTCTATAATATAGTAGCTGACTAATATGCGAACACTATCATAAATACAAAAGCTACTAGAACTGTCTAACACCCCCCTCCCCCCTCAAGCTGAATGCTGTGAAACGAGTGGAAGCTTGGAAACCACAGTGGTGTATCAAGGAGATGATAGTGTCTTAGTTAAGATCTCGGCAAGCTAATTTGTGGAGGGAACATACGAAAAAGTCATCTGCTTAGCTATTACTTGTTTTCATACAAAATGACAATTGGTTCTAATGTACGTGCTTCATGCGCTTATGAAAAACTAGATTTTTGGTCGAGCAAATGGCAGACTGGTTATCATAAAAAACATGTGGAGGAGGAAGTTTGATCTTCAAGATATCAAACAAATAAGAGTCATATTACTTCAGCTATTGCAGATGAGAGAGGACAATATTCTGCCTCCGTGGAGAAACGAGAGACACGACTTTGTTTCTCCGTGCTCCATGAGACAAGATTTTAGCCAAAAAAGACTAGATAACCAGCGACCATCAGTCATATCAATTGCCCAATCAGAATATGCATGTACCGCCAGTGGTCCATGTCAAAAAACCAACCCCCAATCAAGCGTGGCTTTAACATAGCGTAAGATCCTCTTCAAAGACTTGAAATCTTGCTCAGTAGGTGCATGCATGCGCTGACAACCATGGTTGACAGAAAACTGGATATCTAGTATGGTATTTGTCAAACGGCTTATTAGTTTGGAAAAACGCCTTATTAGAAATGACTATTTGAGAATTCAATCTTAGATTTTTAATTTGGCTATTTTGATTAATTAAAGAATTTGAAATCCGTCAAAGAAGCGTAAACCAACGAAAAAGCTAATTTTCAAACACACCCAAGATCTATAAAACTTGTTTGATTGTTATGATACAAAAGAGATTCGTGTGATTTTATTTTGATACGTAGAATTTAAATCTCGGATTTCAAATTCTTTTTGTGTTATGAAATATGAACTTTGAAAATAGAAAATCTGGAATTCAAATTCAATTTTAAATCTACACATTTTTGTTCTATCAAACAATTAAATTGTAATTATTACAATTTTTGTTCTAACTATATGACTTAAACTTCTTGTATCAAACAAATAAAGTCTTAGAGTTCATCAAAAGCCAAAAAAGTTTTTATATCTTAAAGATATTTGAATCCACATCTTTTTGCTCTTTAAACACTCTCTATGAGAAGATTTTAGAGAAATTTATCTAAATAGGACTAAAACATAATGACTTTCCCAATATAGGACCATATGTTTTTATTTCCCAATGTAGGACTTTTGGTCATTATCATGTAGTCATTATTCAAGTAAATGTCCATTATTACTGGACATTATTCTTCCCACTAGGTCATTATTAAGTCCTATTTAAGGAATAAAAAAGTTTAAGTCCTACATTGGGAAAGTCATTATGTTTTAGTCATATTTAGTGCAAATTTTACAAGATTGAGAAAAATTCCTTTGATCCCTTTGCCCTTTTGTAGCAAAATTCCGTGAAGTCACGCTATTAAATTTTTGAACCGGAGGAGCATTAATTAAATAAACGCCACATTTTTCTATGAAAAGCATCTCCCTAGCTTTCCTTCTAAAAACGACCCAAAGTTAACATTTCCAACTAGAATTAATCAAACGCCATTAATTATAACCAGTGAAAAAACCTTAAGATTAAAAAAGAAGAAGATCAAGACTAGAAAGGTGCAAGAAGAAAGAGTGATGGAGAGGATCTCACTAACCCACGTCTGGTTTCTGGTCTATATATATATATATATATATATATATATATATATATATAGACGAGTATAGTATACTACGTATGTACTACTCTAAACTCCAAGATAAACACGTGCTAACACAAAAAGAAAAAACACAAACACAAAGCGAACAGGCCATGGGAGTTCTGACCATATTGACAATATATTTATTAGCTTAGTTTTCTTTGATGGCTTCTTTGTTGATGCTGATGATGAGACTACTACTTCCAGTGTGGGCATCCCACTCGTCGTTAGCAAAGGGTTATTTGCTAACGACGACGAAAGATGAAATCTTTTCGGTAAAGACTGTGGAACGGACCCACTGAAATCGTCGTTGCTTTGGTTCAAGCTCTTGATGACGCGTGCCAGTAGATTGAGACCGGGCCGTACGGGCCCGGTCAGAAAGTTATTGCCACCCGGTCTTCCTACGGACGTGTTTTGCGATATCGAACCGCAGAGCCCGAAGCCAGATGGTCCGAGTTCGACTACCCGGTTTCGGTTCGGGCCACGGGTCACGCCGGCCCAAGAGTTACAAATTGGATCGACGGGCTTCCACCCGAGCCCGTGGGGAATGACAAAGCCCAGAAGGGCTGGTTTGTCGTCCGTTTCTAGATCTGATGCCACTGCTGCTTTTTCTTGGAGGAGAAGTAATACTGATAAGATCAGGGGAAGAAACATATTGCAGAAAATTTAATCTTCTTCGCCTAATTAGGCAAGTGGTAATTAATTATGAGTAATTAATTAAAGACTCATCCGCTCAAGTAACATTGGGGACGGCGGATGGAGATTATTTATAACAAAATACGAAGTAATCGGGTACAAACACAAGGGAGTGTTATTCTAAACTTTTCATAGAAGTCAAAACCATTTTCAAGAAACACAATCAAAAGTAGTGTGTGGTCTAGCTGTATTATGCAGAAACAAGAGACATTATATAATGACAGTATATGTAAAAGTCTTTTTTTTGGGGGGAATTTGGCGGGTGCAGATAAGTGTCATTGCTTGCGTTAACTATATTAGGGCAAGGCTTCAAACGAGAACTTCAAATTTTTTCAGTTTTAATTTACCTCACTGAAAATGGGTTTGAAGCCCAGGAGTTTCAAACTTTCATTTTTTACATTTTTAAATAAACATCTTCTAAAACTAAATTAATAAAATTTAATTATTTCATTTTTTAATTATATTGAAACGAGAATAATTCAAAAAAAATACATTCATTAAATTAAAAAAAATAAAGAAACAATAATTGAAAAAAATACATTCAGTAAATTTTAAAAAAATTAAAGAGACAATAATAAATAAAATACATTAATAAAAAGAACTAAGGTAAATTATATTTAGCCTTAATCTCTTTTTGTCTTCGCTCGAAGATCATACTATACGTTTGAAGCCCGATGACATATCAAGGTTGATTTCCATTATTTTGATCTCTTCATTCTTTTGCTTTCGTCTCGCCCTCTCTTCTTCTCGAATATTGAACACCCGAAGTTGTTCAATCATAAAGGAAATTAAATCTAAATAATAAAGAATCATGCAAGTCTTGCTTATTTGAGACTAATTTGAGAAAAACACCTTATTAGAATAGACTATTTGAGAATTGACTCTTAAATTTTGTTAAAGAGCATCCCACATCAGAAAACTGTGAGGACATTAATCGGTATATAAGGTCTTGAGTTGAACAAACTAATCGATTGGATTCAATTTTTTAATGTAGTTCAACCCAATTGTCTTATTACCCAATCCAGTTGTCCACACTCATCCTAAATTTTATTATGGTATCAGAGCAGGTTTTGGCCCACCTCGTTTGTCAAAACCTAAAAAACTTTAAAAATATTTATTTTAAATTATTGTTGTTATAAATTATTATTATTAGTATTATTATTATCATCATCATCATCATAATCATAATCATCATCACGTTATCTTAGTCAATGCCTTTAAGATATATAAAAAAATATTATTATTTTTTAAATACAAAAAACTACTTTTGCAAAAAATAATTATAAAATAAAGTTAGCATAAATATAAAAATATTAAATTTTAAGAAGTCTTTGTAGTTTTATTGCACCTCAATTTATTTATGCAGTATTTATTATAAATAATATATTTGTAATTATAATTTATATATTAAAACATTTTGTTTTAAATATCATACATGTCACATAATCAAACCTATTGTTTGTTTCATGATTGACATTTTATTTTCATTGAATTCCTATTTTTGGAATAAAGACATAGAACTTTTTTGTTTACATTTTTTTATGTTTTACTCATATTTTAGTCTTTTTCTCTAAGCTCTTTTAACTTACAATTTTTTTTATAAATATTAGAAAAATGAGCAATTTTTAAGTAATAAAGGGAAAACTGAGATGTCTTATAAAAAGTTATATTAATAAAACATTCAATGTAACTATTTTATCCATAATTTTTTTAGTATAATTTAACATATTGATGTTTTCCTGTTTTATCATGTAGACTAATATACAAAAAATGTCTTATTCATATTAAAAAGCTAAAAAAATAATAATAAGTGTGAATCGCAAAAACAGTGAGATGAAAAAAATAATTTCTAAACTATAGTTATGAATATAACAGTTGTAATAATAATAATAATAATCACATTAAAATAAATCATTTTTAGAGTAATTGGTTGAGGAGTAGAAAAAATTTGAAGGAAATGAGAAAAGTTGGAAGAAACTGAAGGAACTGAAAGAAATTGGAAGAAACTGGAAGAAATTGGAAGAAACTCGAAAAAATAGAAGAAACTGGAAGTTAAGAGTTCAAGTCCTAAAGAACATGCCTTAAGTGTCTGTGTTTGTTTGTGTTTGCCGAATGGGGTACCAATTTTGGTGTACCGGTGTGAGAAATGACAATCAATTTTCTAGTAGCAATTTGAGCTTTGGGGTTGAGATCTATTTGCATTCTTGATTTGACCAATTGCACTGTCCTGGTAGGTTAGCTAGACACTTAATTTTTCGGCTATGATTGAAAGATCTTTTGGTATTCCTTATCATCTAAATTTAAAATAAACCCTCAAGTATATCAATTATAATGAAGTGTTTTTTCAAAATGATCTTTTCTAGTTAAAGATAAATTTGATTCAAATTTTAAAATATTTTCACATGTTTTAAATAATTTATGAAATATATAGTCAATGATTGCTTTAATTTACATGAAATTATATAGAAATGATTATTTTGAAAATTTAATTAATCACTGATTAAGTAATAATTTTTAGGAAAAACTACTTGAGACATATTTAATTTATAAGGTATCATGTAGATAATTTAGGGGCGCTTTTCTAGATGTTCTAAGGCTCCACTTTGAATTAGGAGAGTGATTTGTGGAAAATAAGTTATTTTTCAGAAATCATTTTCTTTTTCTGTTGCTTGGTTAGAAATCTGAATAAAGTTTATTTTTATTTTATTTATTTTACGAAAAATGGATATCTAAAAATGAATGTCCAAAAAATGACTAAATAACATTTTAAGTGTATTTATAAATCTTAACATTCATAAACTCATGAATGTGAAAGTAAAGAGACGTCCATAAAAACAGTAAAAATATATCCTTAAAAATAATAATAAAAACGCGTCTATAAATTTTAAACAAAAACAAAATCACCTTAAATAAGGATAAAGTATAGAGAAAATATTACTCCGTAAAATATAAGTTTTTTGCTTTTATAAATAGAAATTTATGTTGTGACAATGTCTCACTGTATATTGACAATTCACAATATCTTTTTGATACTCCGTATTACATATTGACATTACTAACACCGTAACTCCTATTTTTAAGATAAAAAGATGAAATTCATATATAGATACATTTTATATGTTTTAAACATAGTTTTATCTTTTTTCTTAAAGAAAAGATGGATTTACCTAAATAGTACTAATTACAACTAATTTTTAATATTCAATCACTCATTACTAATTTTCTTTTCACATTATCAAATTTTAATAACTTTCCAGAAATCATTTTCCTTTTATTTTCCAGAAATTTTAATCACTTTCTTTACATATTTTTGTTGGTCATTTGATAAATTAAGATTAAATTTTAGAAATAGTCCCTAACTACAACTAATTTTCAATATTTAGTCCCCAATTTAAAATATTTACATAAATGATCCTTATTTTTTAAAAAATTGGTTCATAATTGATCTTGCAGACAGTATATGTAAAGTAAATATTTTGTCATATTTTGACCTAAAAGAATATTTATTAATACTTTACATAAATTGATGTTCATTTATATAATATTTTTAAATTGTAGACTAAATATGGAAAATTATAATTACGAATCATTTATGAAATTTACTTATAAAATAATATAGTCATGTCGCCTCTTGTTTTGTAAAATCTTTTATATAGTTTTGAAATACCGTAGTATATAATTTTATTTTTAAATCTTGCACTTATAATCAAATAAATTTAATAGATTATATGTCAGTCAAACCTAGTAAATCGACATGGAAATAAAATTTTAGAACAAAAAGAGAATAACAAAAGGTTACAAAGTGTAACTACTTGAATTGATAACAAAATAAATATCAAAGATTAGTTTTTCAAATACTTGTCAAAATATTTTACAAATTTTAAATTTAAAAATTTAAATTGTAAATTTTAAATTCTAAATTTTAAATTTAATTCTTTGTTTTTAATTTTTAATTTGTTTGCAGGCACACCAGAAGTCTATAGGACTTGTTTCATTTTTATAAGTTACATGTGATTTCATTTTCACTCGTAGAATTTAAAGTTTGGATTTCAAATTTTTCCATGTGTTATACGAGTAGAATTTAAAATGTAGAATTGTTAAGTTTGGAATTTGAAATTTTAAAATATAATGAAAGAACTATTTTTTATGATAATATTTTTATCTCTACCAAACAATGGAAAATATGATTAAAAAATAATTTTCATTGTAAATCATTTTCCTTAAAAAAATTCAAGAAAATGTTTTCCCCAACCAAACATACCATAAATTACTCCTCCAAATCAATATCTATGCTATATTTAAAAAGAGGGGAATTTCTCTTTGCATTTTTCTGCCTAAATGGTCTTCAATTACAAAAGGTAAGCGTTCAACATGACTAGGTATGTGTTAAATTTAATAGTGGCGTGTAGAAAGATAATAAATATTTATGAATTATAATGTACCATGTGTAATAAGTTAAAGTGTCGAGTAAAAGGTAATTATGGTAATTAAACTCCCGTATAATATATTATTTATTAATAAGGTAATTCCATACCTTAAAATTTTTAGTATCGTTTTATAAAAAGTATATTAATTTGGTACGTGTTACAAAAATTCCATACCTTAAAATTCCATACCTTCTCATATTCATTTTTTTAAAAATATAAATGCTTATATAAATAGTAAAAAAATATTTATTTTACTCATATGTAGGTATATAGTGGACTTTAAATCAACCATAGAATTTGCTTATTCCCAATGTCATGGAACACAATGTAATTTTTTATTATTTGGGTTTAGGTATAGTCTCATTTGGGGAATCACTTAGGTTTTACAATATCTTTTTAAAGTACGAATAGGTAGTACTATACTTGTTCTAATAGAGTTATTAGTGTTAAAAACACTTTAAAATTAAAAGTTTCTTAATGTGATTCATCCCAAGTGTCTTATTGTTCAATCCAGTTAACCCTACACGATTCTAAATTCTATCAAAGCCTTTTACAGTCTTTCATTGTCATCTAAGCTAGACACGCACTAACCGATTGAGAAAAAAGCTCAAATGACAATATTTACCCCTAATTATCAAATCACTTAAAAGCAAGTTTCCGTTGCATTTGTCTCAAAACCCATCCATTGGCCATGTCAAAGTCATTCATACAAAATTGGCATACTTGCAAAAATTTACCATTCCTACCATTTCGCATATCGGTAAGTACTACAAACCACACCAACAAAAGTAAATTAGTAGAGGTAGATTCAACTTGGGAAGACGAGTTTAGCTTTCGCAGATGCACGTGGAAAATGCAATATTTCTTCCAAAGTTTCATGTTTCTTGCTCCAATCAAACCCATAAGAACGACTGATGATAACCTTTTCAAGTGCGGGAAGACAGGCAAGCATCTCTTGAATGAAATGCATTTGGGGCCTCAGTCCAGAGAACGAGCTAAGCTGCAAAATTAGAAGCATTTTGTGTGTTTGTAGCACTCTACGAAGATTTTTCAAACGCTTCGATTCAGCATCTACACACTTGTTGATATCCTCTCCCCACTACATGAAGACACAACACGAGAAGGGAAAATAAGAGTTTGGTAGTTCA